TATATGCCAAAGAGGGCGCCTATGAAGCTAATGGGGGCACCTGGGAAACGAGGAAGACATTTGTGTAAGGGTTTTCAGGGGTCATGCGCCGTTTGCGGCAAATAGATTCTAAAAAAATCGGAGGGGGAATAAGTTTTAAAAATGGTGCGGACTTTCCGCACTGTTCGCTTAAGCGGTTACGCCCCTGGGTACATCTGCCCGATCTCAGAAGCTAGATTTGGAGGTCATACTTGAAAGCAGCCAGCAGGACGAGGCAAAAGTTGGAGGCCCCTGAAAATAGGAGGCCCCCTGGAAAAGGAGGCCCCTTGACAGAGTGGCCCACCCACTTTTCATGACGTTCCTACGCCCGTGTTTCGGAGCGTTCCTTAAAAATAAAGATGCTATTTAAAATTCGAGAAAAAATGTTCAGGCTCATTGCCATTATCTCACTAGATCTTTCTTCGATATAAGTAATAGGTTCAGCTTGTTGATCTGATCGAAGAAATGCCTACCGTAAACCCATTTCCAAGGCCTCGTAAGAATACAACAGTAACCGACTGCACAAGATAATGTTATCGGTCTGAATAATGGTCTGGATCAGACTGGCCTTCCACTTCCGAGCTCGATGGCAGCACAACCAATCGAGGAAGACCGGCTCCTTGATCACTGGCTGAGCAGCGAGCAGCCGGTGCTCCCTAGTCCCTCTTGTGCAGATCAGCAGTCACCCGCCGCCGCGCCGGCTCAGACCGTCACACGATATAGGGACCGTCCCGTCCCGTCCCGACTCATCGCGACAAGAGGAAACCGCGTGTTCTGGTACAACCATAAACTTGTTACCTTTTCCGGTCTTTGAAATGCCACCCGTCAAGGACCACTGGCAAAATTTCTCATTTAGCTGATCACTTCTTGGACCAGCGGAAACAATACATGGAGAGGAATATCTAATTTAATCGAGAAAATGTGTGGAAGTGAAATCTCCAACAACGCCCGAATAAATGCCAAGGAATGTCTGCAATAGATTTAGGTACAGTGATGATTATGTGGTGACAATAGGGACTCGTTTTTCTTTTCCACACGTGCTTATGTATCTCATCCGCAAACGAAAGCAAAACAGCATATTTCATCCGGATGAGCCAGTTATCGTATAAATTAATATCCAATTGGTCAATCTATAATTCGAAATCATCCCGATATTCCATTCACTGTCTGTTCTAAAAATTTCATTAATCATTCGAAAAAAAACTCAAATCGCACTGATAAATGTAGCGTAATCCCTAGGTGCCTTATAAAAATTGCTACATTGTCTGTGCGCAGCAGGACAACAGAGCATTCTTCAGTGCCCTCGCAGCTCGATTTCTAAATATTTTATCCAGTAGAGGCATAGGTAAGTAAGAATTGGGTAAGGTTACGCCATCGGGTCGGCGCTCCGGGTTTCGAACTTCACGCGATCCCGTTACCACATCCGGCCATCCCGGACGCTCACAGAAAAAAGAACACCAACTATCGGGCATTGCGTGACGGAACGAAATAATTAGCTGAGCAAAGCAAATAACAATCTCACTGATCAGACATCGCAAACAATGCGGCTGAGAGCACTAGAAAGAGTTTGTGGTGCCATAGGCGGCGGAACGGAGAGGGCACCGGGGCGCCGTGCCCCCCTTTGATTTTGGCATTTTAACATGGGCGTAGGAACCTCACGAAAAGTGGGGGGGCCAGCGAAACTTCAATGTCACTTTGTGGGAGCCCCAATACCCCTATGAAGAAATTCTTTGCAGTTTTGTGCTCATCTCACCTTGCTGAACGATTTCCTGCTCTTAGTTTTGTATTTGAATCAAAAATAAAGATTTTACTTTGAAAAATGTCTGAAAAGTGGGGGGGCCATGGCCCCCCCGGCCCCCCCTGTTCCTACGCCTATGCATTTTAACATCACCCCTATGGGCGTTGCATGAAAAGAATGGGACCAAAAGTTGGCAGTGCCCCCCCCCCCCCTTTGAAGGTGTTCCGCCGCTACTGTGTGGTGCGACTCTAACGTCACAAGTAGATACTTTTCTGATAACTAGCAGTCAGCAGTACATAGGTAAAACATAGCACAGACCGTGCCTTATAAATTACAAAGCATACCTACAATTTGGCGGATTTTTTACACGGCCGCTTTTGGTTGATAAAGTACAACAGTAAAAGACTAGAGTGAAAACAGCCGAGTCTGATCATTTGCAGTGGAGACAAATGTTTGGGGTAAACGGTTACATAATCTGGACAAGGCTGCTTATGAAATCAGTAGGGAAATACATGTAATCTGGTGTAGAAAAGACAAGAAGAGAGCACAGACAGACGTACAGACAATGCCCTGCCGTATACCGGCTCATCTGGCACCAGCAAGGGAAAGTGGTCAATCGGCTGTAATGGAATGCAAGGTCCGCAGAATTAAGCCAAAGCACCCTTCACATTTCCGGAAGGAACTGGTTCCGCGTGTTTCAGTGCACGCAGGGATTGACGAACTCTGACCAGTTGCATTAGCCTGCCTTCAAACTGGTCTGGATTGTCTATTCGTCAGTAAAGCCAGAATATGTATGAAAGAGAGTGGGCCGTGGGCGACGCTTCAAATTTCTTACATATCGGCTTTTGAATGGGTTTTTATCTCCAATGCTTGCTACTCGCTTCACCTTTTCTTGTCAAAACGACAAACATCAGTGGACAATGAAGAAACTGTATACCTAATATCTTTGGGACAATAACTCATCGCCTTATAATCCCATCGGGGCAATAACTCATTCCAATTACCGGGCTCTATGTGGACTTCACGCCCAACGCTTTGGGTACTGGGATAGGGCTATTGAAGGGCGAGTGGATGCTTCCATTTCCAGCTTGACTCGCAGTTACATTTTTAAGGCGCAACATAAGTTTTGACGTTGTCTGAAGCCTCCACAAGTCATCTTTATATGTGTTACAGAAAGTATGAGAAATCCGTTAGTTTGCAACGACCCTAGGGTCGTTGCAACCACCTTAGGGTCGTTGCAACCACCCTAGTTTGTATGTGAAATCGACGATGCATTAGGCGCCTCATTCAATCGCTGCATTTATAACATCCTTTTTTTGCTAAATGATGACGTTAGGTGACCTGGAATGATGCATTTATATTTAAGTTTTAGTGCCGATATCGCCCACATGTTGTTGTCGATCCTCCCACAGGTTTTGCTGGAGGATCTCACGCAGGTTTTTAATGGGATTTAAGTGGGCATTGTCATCCGATGACTCCTCTTTCACCCAGGGGTACTTCTCGTTGCCACGGAAGAATTGTTGGTCGCGCTGCAGTTCCATCCTCCTCGGGGTGATTTTCGACCTCTCATATACCTATGTACATATAACAGTTATGTTGCATACCTGCTAAGTGTCAGGCTCAGTCTTGGGTGAGATCTCGTGATGCTATCACTGCTCTTTTACCGGACGCTGTGTTACAAGAATCGTCGAGTGAAAATTTTGAGGGCAAATATTATTTTTATCTCCAATGTGAGAAAACGTGAGAAATAAAAGTTCCCATTGCATTCAACTGTGTTGAATGCGAAATCGGTCATCACCAGAATGACCAACGTAACTACAACAAAGGATACAACTCGCACTAAAACTAAAGCCTCAGATTAGCGTCATGGCCGTGCCAAAATGATCAACCACCCCAAACATTTGTTTCACACGTATAAACAAGATGGAAACAATTTCTACCAATATGAAATTCTCTTGCAGTGCATCATATTGCTAAATATATCTACAGCCGGGCCCCAGGAGCAGATAGTGCCGGGGTGCCGGCAGCCCGCCAGAAATTCATGGTAATATGTCGTCAGGATCGCGATCAGTTTGCTCTTCCAATATGTCAAACGGCGTTTCAGTTATTGTCCTTCCCGGTTCGAGTTGGCGGGTGGCCGCCGTGAGACTTTCACTCTCACCGGGCTCGCTGCCGGCGGTGCCTGCACGAGCCGTTTTTATTCAGACTCGAGAATGCTTCATCCCCCCCGCTCCGGTATCTGGTAAAAAATCGCGTATCTGAGCCTGCTCGCGCCAAACTGGATCTTGAGCGGCCGAAAGGAGGCCGCGGTGACGGGCGGACGCTCACTTTCGCGACGGGGGGCGCTGACGGTGCCGCAGAGAAACCGCCCCGCTCCCGTGGCCAAAACCGGAAGGGCCACTGCACGACGCCGGCCGGCGGCGAGGGTACATTTATGGCCGGCGCCGGACGCATCTCCAGTCAGTGTGTGAGTGAGCCCGGCGGCGACCGGAGCCGAGAGCGAGACAAACGGACAGAGCTGCCAGCGGAGCGCCACCGGCAGCGAGTGCCGAGAGGCCGCACCATGACCAAGGTGACCACCGCAGTGCCGCCGAGGGAGTGTGCGGGTGGAGACTGGTGACACACAGCTGCCGAGGGCTGCCACAGCTCGTGCGAAGGCCGTGTGCTTCGATAGTGCTTCATGTGCATTTCTTCCTACTGCAGATAAGAAGGCAGTTGCCGGTTGGAAGGATAATTATTGACAACTGTGTGCCTATAGGAATCTAACGTGACTAATTCGATAATGTATGAGGTTAACAATTAAATTTCGACTCATTGTAATGAAGTGCAGAGTAGCATAACTGCATGTAGCGTTTAGTAGTGCTTTTAAACATACTGCGAACGATTGATTGTAGTCGTTTTAACCAGACCTCGTTAAGCTTGTAATTGATTAAAACATTAGCTTTAGGTACTCTGTGAAGGTTTGTCATAGCTAATGCAATTGTTCCAAGAGCTCACACCAGAATGTTCGGGCAATGATGGCTAAGTTTGGACAGACACTCAAAACACAAAAGATAAAATAAGAATAAGAAATATATAGGGGGACGAGAAATTAGGCGATGTCTTAACTATCTGACATTACATTACATAGCATAATATATGTACTGTGTCATATGAACAGTCACGCAATAGGTTTCTTCTATCTATCATCGTCTCCATTTGCCGCAATGACTGATTGCTGATGAAGCATTGTGTCTGCCCGCAGAGGAGCCTGGCCGCCCTGATAGCGGCGGGGCTGGTGGCCGCCTGCGCGGCGGCCGAGCCGTCCGCCGCCGACACCTCTCTGCCCAGCGACTCCAAAATGGACCGCATGCTGGTGGGCTGGGACGCCTCGGCGCTGGCAGACATGCCCGCGGCCGCTCCGGTCGCCCGCGAGGACCGCAAGACGGACCGCACGCTCGGACTCGCCGCCGCCTACTACGCCTACCAAAACCTGCCGGGCGTGGACTTCTTGCGGCGGGAAGACTCTGCTGCCCTGGGAGGCGGCCTCATGCTCTCTAGAAACGACGAGGAAGGCTTTACCAGGGTGGGCGGAGGCGCTCCAGCCGGGCCGCAGGAGCGCAGCGGCGGCAAAGGACACGGACAGGCTCACGGTCGTCAGCACGGGTTTGGGCCGCGCCCGAGGCCCGCCAGCCACGGCGGGTACCCGGGCCCAGTGCCGGGATCTCACTACGGCGGCCAGCCGCAGGGTGGAATTGGTCTCGGCGCGCACGGAGCCGGAGGACACGGCAAGTACCCCGCGGCAATTAAAGGCCCCTCTCACTACGGAGGGGGTCCGGGAGGTCACGGCAAGTACCCCGCGGCAATTAAAGGCCCCTCTCACTACGGAGGAGGGCGTCCGGGAGGGCGCGGCCACGGAAAGGGACGTCCAGGACATGGACCCGGAGGGCGCCCGGGAGGATTCGGTCTAGGAGGACGTCCGGGAGGACACGGCTTTGGAGGACGCCCGAAAGGACATGGTCACGGCGGAGGACGCCCAGGCGGAATCGGATTCGGAGGGCACCCGAAAGGACCAGGTTTCGGAGGACACCCGAAAGGACGCGGCCACGGAGGAGGGTACCCGGCGCCCGTTAAGGGCTCGTCTCATTACGGAGGAGGACGCCCGGGAGGTCACGGCAAGTACCCCGCGGCAATTAAAGGCCCCTCTCACTACGGAGGAGGACACGGTCACGGCGGAGCCGGCGGCGGCGGAGGAAAGTACCCAGCTGCCCTGAAGGGCCCGTCTCACTATGGAGGGGGACACTCGGGAGGGCACGGTCACGGAAAGTACCCAGCACCCGTGCAGGGCCCGTCTCACTACGGCGCTCCGGCTCACCCTGCTCCGATTCACCCCGCACCGGTTCATCCCGCCCCGGTTCACCCCGCACCTGTTCATCCCGCTCCGGTTCATCCCGCTCCGGTTCACCCCGTTCCAGTCCACCCTGCTCCGGTGCCCGGCCACGGCATTCCCAGACATCCCCAGCCTAAGGGCGCCCCGGTTCACCCAGCACCCGTGCATGGCCATGACGCCCCCAGGCACCCGGCGCCTCACGCCGCCTTCGCCGACGACCAGCACTCCGGGTTCGGTCCGCCCAAGAACGCCATCTCTCTGCCCGGCCCCGTGATTGAATCAGCAGGAGAGGTCAGAGGTCACCACGGCGGAGGGCCTGGCCCGGTCCACCCGCCACCCGTCGGCCGACCCCACCAGGACAGCGGCCGGCCGCAGCACGACGTCGGTCCCGTTCACCCAGTCCCGACGCCGCAGTTCTCCGGAGGCCGGCCACCGGCCCCTCAGGGCGGATTCGTTCCCAGTATAAGTCATCAGGCTCCCCAGATCCCGCCAATTTTCCGGGACGATGTCCAGGTAAACCCGCAGTTTCCTCCCTCGCCACCACCGCCGTCTCAGTTCTCCTCTAAGCCGCCACCGCAGTTCCATAGCCAGTTCAGCTCGCCGCCTCCCCCTGCACACCCGAGCCCGTCCCCGCCGTTTGGCACTCAGTTCCAGCAGGACCAGACCAGCTTCAGTCTCGGACCGGTCCGCTCACCGTCCGTGCAGGTCGGCTCCTCCGAGATCGGCCACTCCAGCTCACTGGGAGCCATCCGCGAGGTGTCCGGTCCCGTCTTCTCCCAGCAGGCTGGCATCGTCTCCAACAACCTTGGTCCCCTGCGGGAGGTATCCCGACCGAGCCAGCCGCAGGGCTTCAACCGGCAGCCCAAGTTCAACAGTCAGCTCAGCTCTGCCAACGAGATTGTCCGACCAGTCGAGTCTGCGAACCTCGGACCGGTGAGGGAGACTGCCGGTCCCGTTACCAGCCAGACCGCCGCCGACGGAGCCGGCTCCCCACTGCTGCAGTCACAGACGGTGGCCGACCTGCTGGGCGGACCGGCCTACGAGTATACGCAGCCCGCGGCCGAGCCAGTAGCCGCTGACAGCGACGGGGCGCCGCTCTACGGCAGCGCCGGCTCGGCGGCCGCCAACCGCGTACCCGCTCCCGTCGGCAGCAGCGACGAAGTCGTCTTGGTGGACGAAGACGGATGGCAGCCAATGAACGACGCCCCGACTCACAGCCTGAGCGCGAGCCGACCGGTCGGAGGACAGTTCGTCTCCCAGTCGGGCCCTACGGTTTCTCTGTCCGATCCGGTACCTGTGCCCAACAGTCTGGGTTTCGTCGGGCAGTCCCTGTCAGAGCCCAAGGAGATCCCCAGCACTCTCGCTCTAACAGGAGACTCGCTCTCTAACGCCAGACCAGTTCCCAGTCCTATTGGCCTCACTGGAAATGTTCTATCCGACGCACGGCCGGTCTCCGGCAGCTCTGGTTTTGCCGGCCAGTCACTGTCGCAGCCACGGCCGATCGGCGCTCCTCAGCCGGTGGGCCGTCTGCCGATCGACGTCAGCGCTGCTCTGAGTGACACCAACGCCAACAATGGCCTCTACCTGCCGCCACCGCGCGCCGCTACCGCTAGCGGCGTCATCAACCCGCCCATCCACATCAACACGGGCCGCGGCGGTGGCGGCTCTCAGCCATCCTCCGATGCCGGCTTACTGGACCTCTACAGCTCCGGATCGTCTGGAGCACCAACCGTGGCTCAGGTGCTGCTCTCCGTGGCTGAAGACGACAGAGCAGCGGACGAAGAAGACGACGCCGACATCAGCGCGTCTAGCAGTGTTACCAGCGGCGTGGTGGCCACAGCGGAAGAGGAGGAAGAGAAGAAGTCAGAGAGCAAAAATGGAGTTCGGAGACCCGGCCGGGGGCGAGCCATCCTCAGTAAACCAAACCAGACCACCTCTTCCGAGAGGGTTAAGTTTTCTGGAAGACGAAGGCCTGTCGTCAACGCAAACATACAGCCACGTAACCCGAACGTGGTTCGTGTTCCCACCAGCAGCCCCGCAGCCACAACACTTCCATCAGGTCTCAGCGGCCCTGTCAGCAGCGCCCTGGCCAACCTCTCTGCACGTATGAAGGCGCGTGAGCAGGCCCGTCGCCGCGGGCCGGCTTCTGCCACGGCGGTCTCTATCGTTAGCGTGTCCTCGACGGCGACCACCCGCACAGTACTGAGCCCCACCACGACGCAGGCGCTGCCACTCCGGGTCACATCCATCACCTCCACCGTGTCGGTGGGAGTCACCTCCGCCACCACTTCACCGAGCGGCAGCTCTGCGGCCACCACCAGGGTGTTCCGAGGCAGCACGTTCACCATCTCACCGACCAGGACGCTGCAGATCGCACAGGCCACGTCGACACGGTCATCGTTTGTCCCCGTCAGCAGCCTGCCCCCAGCGACGTTCAGTCCCCAGCCGACGTCAACCACTCTCAGGAGCCCGCAGTCAACCACAACGACCAGTTTCGTGCAGCCGACGCTCTCCTTCAGTCTGTCCAGTCCCACTCCCGCAGCATTCAGCCGCTCACAGCCGAGCCCCACGGTCTTCAGCCGTCCGCTGACGACGTCTTCAACGTTCAGCCGCCCCCGTCCGACTCCCACCGCCTTCCGGGCGACGACGTCCACCGGCTGGCGGTTCGCGCACCGTCCCATCAGCTGGAGCTTCTCCGCCGCAACGGACGACGATAAGGGCACCCTGTCGGTGACCCGCGGAGGCGACCAGTCCAACACCGTCTTCAGCTCCGAGGACAACTCATCTTCTGAGAACAAGGCTAACGTTGGAGCAGTCGCCACCACCGTCACCAACTCACCAGCGCCTGCGACGAAACCCTCTCCAACGCCGACGATCTCCCTGTCCCAGACCACTACCACCACGGCTCCAGCCAGTCTCGAGCTAGCAGCAACCATCCCGACGATCAGCAGCTCGGACAACTCTCTGGATAGCAAAAACGAGTGGGAGGGCGGCTTCTCTCCCAGCCTGACCCCCGCCAGTCAGCCTCAGGGAGCAGTGAGCACGTCCTTCCCCAGCATCACTCTGCAGGCAACCGTTACAGACGAGGTTCCGGCGGTGACGGAGACATCCTCTGTTGAGGCGACGTCTGCCACTCCTGTCACACCTTCCCCTACCACCAGTCCGTTCAACGTCCGCCGGCCGTCCCGCGGCAGGAGGCCCGGCAGTCGGCGCAGGTTCAGGCCCAGCGCTGCACGGACGCCCTTCAGCAAGAAGGAAACCAACACCCCCGTTTTCAAAGTCGGGTTCAAGCAGCAGCCTGTGAAGCCGCGGAAGCCGTTCACTAACGCTGCCCAGCTGAGACCTACCGCCAACACTGACACCCCGGTAGAACCACTTTCCACTGAAGCTGAGGAAACTACCCCCACCAGCCAGCCGGAGGTGGAATCCACCGACGCGCCGACGCCCGAGACAACCCCGGCTACAGTGAGCACCACACCACGGGTCTCCCAGCGAGGTCAGCGCTGGGGCCAGCGTAAGGGTGTGCGGGCCCGCGGCCAGCGGCGCTACCAGGGCCGGCGGAGGTACTTTACCACCACCGAGGCTCCCGAAAAGAGCGGCGAAGTCGCAGCTCAGTCCACCGGTACCGCCGTCATCGGACAGACCACGCCCAGGACCATCCGCATCCGGCGCAAGAAGCTGATCCGCAGGAAGAAGCCGGCCGCGCTGAAGAAGGAGGAGCCGGAGGCGGAGGAGGAAGACGAGGAGGCGGGTACCCAGAGCGCTAGCCGCACGCGCTCGCAGCCGCCGTCCGGTCGCCGACGCCCGTTCCGTCGGGGTGGGCCGTCGTTCCGGCGCCGGAGGCGGTTTAGGGGCGACCAGCAGGGGGATGATGACGCAGAGGAGCAGTAGAAAAGACTCAGCACTTAACTGGGATGCAGTAGACCAATAATGATCCCAGCGAACTGATGAATCACGTCATAGGCCCGTGGTGGTATCACGAGTCATGACTTCGCCTTTTGTACCGGTCTGATGTAAGCGTCAGATATTGTTAATTGTCCGTACCCTGGACATTTTGTATTCCAGTGTTGCAAGCCTGCAGGGCCATTAACATGTGCTGTTTGTTGTTGCTGTATGGTACCGGAATTGTTATTGTTATGTGCCTATTTAAACATGTTTACATGTGCTGTATGAAGAGGTGTTTGAAATAAATAGATGAAAGGCATGTTCTCTGTTCAAAAGGGAATGGAAAGAGACCTAATGAATCGCCGCACAGGACGATGCACCAGAACATGATGTGTGCGAGGGGAGCAAATTAAATGGACAGCTGAACAACAGCTATGACAAAAGCAGCACAAGTGTGAATAGATAGGTATCGTATTGCCAAGGTCAGGAACATCGACCAAAGTGAAATCATTCAGATCGGGTAAATGGAAATCTTGAAAGCAGCCGTTTTCTATTCGGCCATGGTTTTTGGCTGGTAACATAAAGCTGACAAATCTGCAGAGCATTATGCACATTTCCACACACAAAGCGTGGAAACGTAATTGGGCATAAATCCGAGCAAAGGATCGTCAGACTGGGGACGGTTGACACGATCATTCAATGGTAAATATAATCAATTAGGGGAAAAGTCGGCCATCAAGCGCAGTTCAAAGCAGGTTAACGCAGAGATCTCTCATCAGGCGTGAGGCGAATGTCATGCGAGTGCTCGTTATGCTCGCTGAGCCCAAGAAGTAGGACAATTTTTTTTAATTGGTGAGAATTCCTAAGGATGTTGGGGATATTTATGAAACGACGCATCAGCAAAACCATTTGACCCGTCCGCAGTGGGGTTGGGATGATCGGGCCTCGTCTGCATCACGTCACTTAACCCATTAAAAAACAAGCCTGTAGTTTGTCCAGTTTCGCCTCAGCCATATCCGACGATTCAACATAGAAAAGCGGACAGCTTAGCATTCTTTAATGCACCGGTTTGTTTACTTTCAAACGACTAACTGTCGCTTTCAACTCTCCCTGAGCTACATGACTATTTCGTCTATAAGATCATATTGGTATTTGATTACCGCGTCTCGAGGTACGAACGTAAATCGTTGGACAGACTAATCCCTCAACAAGCGCCGAGTTTCTAACGACAAAAGCTCGGGGCAAACCCGTCATGCCATTTACGGGCGCAGATAGCGGATGTCAGCCAGAGTTTCTCCCAAGCATTGCTGATGAGTTACACAGATCTGAAGATCGCGTTTCTGTCATGAGCCATCCTGACGTGCGGCCGCAGTCGTGACCCAAAGAAAATGCCTCCGATCCGCGGACGATGGCCCGTCCATCCACCACATAGTGACCACAGCGACGTCCGTGCGCGGCCGTATTTATGAGTTGCACAACACCATCCGCCAGCAGGATGCAAATCTCAGAGATGCTGCAATACTCAACAAGAAACTCGAACGTTCGTGCGTGTATGTATTCAACTCCGTCAGCTTTGCACTGTGTTCGTACCGAGACCTACTCCCGCAATACTTTGTTCTAAAACCGCAGCCGACAAAAATATAAGCTCGATTATCACATTTCGCTGAAGTACTACACACGACTACGTGAAAATCCAAGGCTTGAACAAAGCACAAGATTTTCATGACACATCCGCCGATCCTATTACAGCCTCTGATCAGATCCTGCGAATCGTTAGCTTGTCCCTATATTGCACGTGATTTAAGTACCAACTACTTACTACTGAAGAATCGGAACCTGAAGCATAAAAAGCCGTTCTAGTCCTGAGAGGGAGTAAGCGAGGCAAACATGAAGTAAAAAGCCTGAGTGTGGACACGGATACCGTAGGAATATGTAGAAAGCAGAGATACGAGCATTACCGCGTGAGACGCGAGTGTAAGGTAGGGGAGGCAGAAGCAACACTGAGAGCCGAGTGGCGGACGGACAATTTCACTGGAAGCTGGGCGGCAGCCGAGCGCTACATGTCACCGCTGGCCGCTGGGTAACGGGAGTCGTTCGTCGAAACAGCACACCTTAGCCTACCTGACTCGAAACGTTCAGCGACGCAACTATCTATCCACCCTATCGACCCACTCCCGATGTTTCCGCCACTTCCCGCCAGTCTGCCGCGCTGTCCACTCCATCAGCCACACATCCTTCCTCTACCATTTCGGTACTACCCTGAGCTGAGCCACAGGCCCTCCGTCGCCGGCACTCCGTCAGAGGTATAGCGTCTAACGGGTCCCGCTCCCCGCCAGCCTCCTTGCCCAGACGCCGCGACGCGGACGGTGACGCGGGTGTCCTGCGCGGTCAGTTACGTCAGGTGTGCAGCCGAGGCGCGCGCGTCGTGCATATGCTCAAACACGCCGGGGAGATCTCACCAGACCGGTTGTCACGCTGCACAGCACGCATACCGGCCCCGTGGCCCTGCGAGGGGCGCGCCCTACCTGCCCTCCGCAGCCGGGCAGCCCAGCCGGCAGCAGCAGCGCGCCCAGAGCCGGCAGCCGGCCGGTGAGAGCCGCGCGGTCATTCCTGTTGGACGGCGCAGGTGCGCCCGGTCCTGCCGATCCCGCGATCTGCCGATCGGCAGCCGCTGGCCGGCTCGACCGCTCTCACTTTCAGTAGGTACGGCACGGGCCGGACACCCCGCCGGCCGTGCAGCGTGCACCAGCGAAAGTCGGCCGGAGACGGGCAGGACAGGTCCGACACGGGGCCAGCCGCCCACACGGACGGCGGCTCGAGCGGTTCCGCAGATTCCGGACGCGCCGCTACCGAGTCGCAAACGCTCGCACGTCGCTCGTGCGCGCTGCGTGTCGCCGTGAGCTCCGCGCCGACCCAGTGGAGAAGCAGGAGCGCTGTGTGGGAGCGCGGTCCGTTACAGCGGCGGACACTAACCGTTCGTGCAGCAGCAGGCGGCGCTACAGAATGCAGAGGGGCGCGGGTCGTCGGGAGGGTCGAGCGGCGGTCGGCCGACCGTGCGGGCGGCGGCCTACACATAGTCGCGGCGACTGACGGGTCGCGCCGAGCCGGGCACACAGGTCAGGCAGCCGGGACACGAGGCGCACCCCTTCAGGCGGCCGGCGGCCGGCACCGGCGACGGCGCCTCGCTCCAGGCCGGCGCCGCCTGCGAACCAGCCGACACAGCCGGTCAGCCGGGGGAGGCAGTACGAGGCACAGCACGAGACACCGACTGAGGCACACTACGGGACGAGGCACAGAGCGCGGGACCTGAGAGAGGGCGGGACATACATACAGATCAGTCAGACGGACATCGATGTTACAGAACTACGTAATACTACAGTCTGACGGAAATCACAGGAGAGCAAGCCATCTTACATAGCATACCGGAAGGGGGAGGGCAGCCAGCGGAGAAATGTATCTACGTAGCACAACTGAGAGCGAGGGAAAGAGAGGACTATCTGAACGCAGCGACCGATAGGTCCATGCCGAACGGGCACCGCAGACGAATTGACCTGAAGACGAGTTAGTAGAACTTATGGTGGCAAGGACGGGATGGGGGCTAAAAATAAAATAACTGAACAAGGGAGGACATAACGGGCAGAACAGAACATGGTACGTCGGCGTAGAGGAAGAACAGAGAAAGGATGGGCAAGGAAAGACGGGGTTGGTTAACACAAACCTGGACATTGACAGGACAGGACAGGACAGGGAATAACATGACACGTCACGGATGACAGGGAAATAAGCAACGTAAAAAAGAAGGCGACCTTGGTAGCACAAAACAAAACAGATAAGGGGACCGTTTGAAATGTGTGCAATGTTAGCAACTGCAAAACTTGTCCAAACAAACACCACAATCGGCAATTCGTATTTGTATTTGGCACTTACTTGCGGTTTGGCACTCCCACAATCCAGACAGTACAACACTGGTACCAGCAGGGCTTAGCTAGGGAATGCAGTACACTACAGTGCTAATGGTCCTAATTTCACTACCTAACACAGCACTAAGACAACTATCATGTAGTTACTATATGTCCAGTAACTGTGCGTTTAAAACCGGAAACGAATTTCTACAGATACAAATCCCCTGTACGGGCTCGGCCGATACATTTCCATACAGATACGCTCATGTCTCACAAAACCCGCACCCAAGGCGGTGTCACGAATATATTAGTATGATGCAAAAAGTGCAAAAACTGTGCGTAGGTTTATACTTCCCCACGACCTGTCCAGTCCACGGTATCATGCAGTATATCCAACCAGTCACGGTCGGAATCACCCATGTCGAGATCCTCGTCTCTAATTGCACCAGCCGATGATTAGAGTCGCAGCACAGGAACAAGAAGCATGGGGCAAGGATAATAATATGAAGAAAGGCGAAATCGACGTTAAAATTAGCATAATTATTGAACACCACAGCTAAGCTATAGCGGCAGAAAAACACAGGATGAACGGAAATGAATGCGGTTCGTATTGCCTCGAGAGCATCACTCCAACGCATTCAGGCCTTTCATCACGTGCCACGCGACACCACTACGATACATGCCGCACGTAAAGAAGGTGCACTTGGTAAGGCTTTGAGATATATCCACTTCCTCAACAGCTAGCGTAAGGTAACGTTCTTAAGATAAGGGTTCCAGCAACCAGTAGCGATTAAAACCCTAACGACCGCCCCTGACCAGGAAGTGGTTGAGCTCACTCGGTCTGAGTCTGGCAGCTAGGTCGCTCTGACAGCTGACAGCTGAGTCACTCTGGCAGCTGGCAGCTGACAGCTGGGTGGTCGGTCTGACAGCTGACAGCTGGGTCGCTATTACAGCTGACAGCTGGATGGTAGGTTTGACAGCTAGGGACATTCACATTTCGCTGTATCCCAAATTACTCGTGGCTGGAGCCCTTACCTTGAGACCAATAGTACCAGATCAGAACATGCCAGCGAAAGATGAATACATATGTCGCAGACAGTCATTTGTAGGCAGCAATAAGTGCGGTGTTACACATAGCATAGCGAACACTTTCAGAAAACCTCAACACCACAAGCAAAGTGATGGTTTCAACTTAAAAGAACGATGAGAGAAAGACAGGTATTCTCTGTACGCAGAACGTAAAAATACATCGCACAACAGCCCTCGATAAGAAATGGATAGTTCAAGTATCACAGCAGGTTATGCGAATATGCAAAGCAACACTCCACTCAAACCCACGCAAAACCACGCAGTTGTAGCACAAATAAATGGTTTAGTAATGGCTAAACAGCAGGCATTTTCATCTTCTAGCCTTTTG